CGCTTTACCCCACATGAGAATCCCGTAGGACATTATACTATGGAAGTAACTAAAGTAAACTAGTCTAGCAGTACTAACATCGGTAAGCTCACGTATTCTGCGGACTGCGTATGCAGCGGAGCTTAATCTGCTGGCCAGGGACGATATATGTGGAAACCACTGAAGTTTACTATCTAAGGTCACTCCCAAGAAGACTGCTTTATTAACAAGGTCTAACTTTTCTCCGTTTATTTCTATGCTTGGACTAGTCGATTTTACGTTAGGTAATTCAAATTTAACACATTTTGTCTTCTTGGCATTAAGCAATAAATTGTTAGCATTAAACCAATAAACTACTTTAGAGAGGGTATCATTAATACGGTCATAGTTAATGTCATGTCTGTCTGTTTTAAAAATCAAGGATGTGTCATCAGCAAACAACACTATTTCGCAATGGTCCTTAACAAAGAATGGCAGATCATTAATATAAATCAGAAATAAGAAAGGTCCAAGTATTGAGCCCTGCGGAACACCCATTTTTACTGGAGAACCCAAAGAAGTCGCTCCATTTATGCCTACTTTCTGAATTCTACCGTTGAGATATGACGAGACAAGTTTCGACGCCTTGCCATTTACACCGTAATGTTCCAGCTTACTAATAAGAGTATTATGATCAACGCAATCAAATGCCTTTGAGAGGTCACAGAAAACACCAATAGCGTTCTGGGACCTTTCCCAAGCATCAAAGATGTGTTTTAGTAACGCTACCCCCGCATCGCTAGTCGATCTACCACTAGTAAACCCGTATTGTTCACTATGAAAAATATGATTCCTACCGAAATAGGACAGTAATTGAGTTAGCAGAACCTTTTCGAATATTTTACTTAAAGCTGGTAAAATTGAAATGGGCCTATAATTGCTAGGATCAACTTTCCTACCGCTTTTGAATAAGGGAATAACCTTGCTGTATTTCATTAAATCGGGAAAAACACCTTCGTCAACGCACCTATTGAAAGCTACAGCTAACTGTGGGGAAATGAGATTAATAACTGAGTCTATAACTTTAGTTGATATGCCCCAGAGATCTTCAGTTTTTTTAACATGTATTGACTTAAAAGCTTTTATGATGTCTTGTGGATTAACATGACGAAAATTAAATAAACTGCCACAAACGTTAACATTTTCCTTTAGGAGATCAATAGCAAGTGAAGGGGAGGAATTTAATGATTTTGTAGTGTTCACAGCAATTTCCGAAAAGAACGATTCAAAAGCTTGGGCTACTTTATCTTTAGATTTTATAAGTTTGCTGTCTAATTCTAAAACTATATCTCTATCGTGTAGTTTAACCCTGCCTGACTCTTTATTTATTATGCTCCAAGTAGTTTTAGATTTATTTATCGATTGTCTAATTTTGTCGCTGTGAAACTTAACCTTAGCAGCTACACAAACTTTTTTAAATATTTTCGAATAAATTCTAACATATTCTATGAAATTGGAATTAGTATTATAAGTTTTCATAGCATATAGCTCATACAAACGAGACCTACTCTTATGAATACCTACTGTTGCCCAGTCGTTGAATTTAGTCTCTCTATGGAAAGTTAATGTTTTCGATTTAAATATATTGTCAAATTCATTTTTAATTAAACCAAATATCGTGTTATATAAAGTATTTGGATCCTCCGGTATATGGGATAGGGAATTTAAACTGTTGCCGATATTATTTTGAAATCTAATTATTCGTTCTGTGGTAATCGGTCTGCAGAGAAATTGGTCTACCTTCTTGCTCATTTTACAATTAAAAGAAGCCAATTGGCCACTATGGTCGGATCTTAAGCAATTTATTATTGATTTAGACACTGCGTCTGTGTTACAAAAGATGTTATCAATACAAGTAGAAGAGGAGGCAGTAATGCGAGTTGGTTCTAAAAAAAGATTAATCAAGTTAAAACTTTGAAATAAATTAATGAGTCTTGCAGAAGTAGAACAGTTTTCCAACAGGTTTACATTGAAATCTCCACATATTACTACGTTTTTTTTGGTTGGAAAAATCCGCTTTAAACTGTCTTCCATAATTAATTCAAACTCGTTAAAATTAGCAGAGGGGGGCCTGTATACACATAAGACGACAAACTGATCCAATTCCACACATGAAATCTCAATAGTTCGTTCAGTAGAAAGATTTGTGATATCCTTACGCTCTTTAAATTTTAAGTTACGCTTAATAATAATCATGGATCCGCCTCTACTTAAGCTCTTTCTTATGAACGAACTGACTATTACATAATTTTCTATATTGTTAATGGCTTCGTAATCTTTCAGCCAGTGTTCTGTAACACAAAACACGTCAACGGAAATATCGTGCAAAAAAAGACTTATTTCTAATATTTTGCCAGAAAAGCCTTGAATATTTTGATGTACTACATGGAAACGATTAGACTTTTCTGTCGTCGTGTTTTTTAGTTTAAATTATGGTTAGTAAAATGTATACTGTTGCTACTTAAAGTAGGAGCATTGTCGTGGGACTGTGTTATATCTTCTATAACAGCGTCCTTAATATTAAAAGATAGCAAACTAGCTATATGTCTTAGATACCTTAGGGGTAAAAGTAAATTATCCTCAAAAAGTTTGAAGTTCCTTACGAACTTATTAATGTCAAAACAAAATATAACGTCACTATGACGGCAAGTCAAATTATGTATGTGCGAATTTATGTTATATATATACTTATTACGAGCGATGCCTAGGTTACAGCAGTAAGGGAATGCACTTAGTATGAATTTACACCCACACTTCTCATGAATTCTCAAGAACACGTCAATGCTACTATTTACTTCTTTTTTACTAATGTTAGTACTATCACCTATTATAAGAATCACTGTTGTATATTTATCAAAGTTGCAATCACTTAACAGTGTAATAATTTGACTAAAAGTAGCTCCTGGATAGCAATAGTTGACTACCCTTTGTTTTAAGTGGTTACTAAGGTGGTGGCCTAGTCCTACGCCTATTTTATCAGAAAAAACTACCGTTCTTCTGGATGGCCTGGTCGGAGTTCTAATAGTCTTGGTTGACCGTTGACTGTGTCGAACTTCAACAGTTGTAGTGGAGCAGACACGTTTTCCTGCAGCAACGCTGGCATACGATGCACGTGTTGGTTGCGTTGATAATGTGGGTGGTGGGGACGGAGTCTGATTTATTTCTACTGGACCATTTGTTTCACTAAGCTCATCGTGAAGAAGGACTTGAGTAAGTTCTCTATACTCAGTACCCAGCTTTAAAAGCTCATTAGTTGCAGCTGAAAGTTCTTCTAGTTGTTTCTGCGTAGAAAGTAGGTCTTTAGTTCGCGACTGAAGATCTAACTCTAGATCTTTCACTTGTTCGGCCATCTTCACCTTGTCCTTGTGTAAATTTAATTTTTCTGATTTTACTTTCTTAAGAGTTTTCGATTTCTTTCTTATCAGGTTGGTTAATTTGGAAAATCTTGGGTCTTGCGATTTAGTGCTGCATAATTTACTGTTGCATACATTCCTGTCTCCCAGAGCTAGTTCATCACGGAGTGACAAGGTCGTTAGGTGGTCGTAACTTCCGCTTTGTTCGTGTAATGATGCAACTTCAGGATTTGATTCCTTTACCTGTCTTTCAAGAAATCTGATACGGTCTAAGGCGTCTTCGTGTTCCTGGTGATTTTCTCGGAAGCTCTCTATAATTAATTCCTTTCGTTTGCACTCTTTTTCTAATTCTTCACAAAATCGTCGAATTTCATCAAATTTCCCTTTTAATGTCATTCGTGAAGTCTTGAGCGCCTGCATTTCCATTTCATATACATCGCGTTCTTCAAGAAGCCTATCTGTCAGTGCCCTCAGTTCATTGAGCTCAGCTTCCATCTTCTTGCTCTTTTCTTCAGACAACATTCTCCTGGTCATCATGTTGTACTGGATATCGCGTCACTGGAATGTATCAAATGGAATGTAAGCGCACAGAATGTACTTAAAAAAATATGTAAATTATGTACACAGGCCTCTTCCAAATACGAAGTTCCCACTAGCACAGTGAGCTATTGTCTATTTCTAATCCTTAATCTATCAGATAATTGAAATGAACCAGGGTTGTCTGGTCTATTCTACCTAAAACATATAAATCTCACTCACAAAACTTACGCACGGAAAGAATATTAATAAAATTACTCAAAAAGTATATATAAATATATACGAGGTATTGTTAATAAATATTATATATTACGTAGTAGTTAAAGGTCTCAGGCGTGCACTTTATGTATGTATGTCTGTATAATACAAGCAAATACATCAAAGTCTACTTCAAATGTATTGAAGTAAATTGAGACCCGCTTGCAAATACACGACAGTTATTGTAGTGTTAATGTGTTAATCGATAGCTACTTATATACGTAACGGTAATCAACTAAAGCCAAAAACTGTCTGTACTAAATTTTATGTGAATAATAATAATGCAAATAACTAAATAAAAGTGTTTTAATGGAAAGTATGAAGGTACGTTGTCTCCGAGATTTGTTTGACAAAAGTCAAGCAAAAGGAGTCAAGTTCAGTGTTGCGTTGTATGTATGTAATTTATAATGTGTTTATAATTTTATTTTTAATTTTATGTTTATATATTTTAAATTTATAATGTGATGTAAATAATGTCCAATTAATTGATTAGAAATGAAATAAAATCTTGAAGTGAAGGTATTTGTCTCAAAGTTGGAATAAAGTTAAGTGTAAAATTGTATTAGAAAAAGATAAGCAGTATTTTTGTAATGATAGTATTTTATTACTTTTAATAAATATTTTTTCAGAATTAGCAAATATTTTGAGAATTTGCTCTTTGTTATTAGTAGAAATCCTTTTTTTCTGCGCAGGTACCTTCGCTACTGCGTTTGTTCTATTTCGTTGACAATAAATTTGCTGTTGTAAATTTTTATAACTTTTTTCATTTATTGATATTAACAGTATAATGTAGTACTGAATAGTTATTTGTAAGAATCGTTTTTACTTTCGGTTTCTTATTTTTAAAATGATGTTTGTTTTCATCTGGAACTTTAAACACTTGTTCGAAATCAAGTTTTCTGAAACTGAAACATTTTAACTCCACAGCTATGCGAAAGCACTCGAGTATGAACTCATAAGTTTTCCGTTGAAAAATATAGTGGAAATCAATTTGTAAATGCAATAAAATGTCTAGAATCGGGAACATATTAGCTTTCAACTTTATGGACCACGGTAGTTATAAAAAAAATATTTATTAGCTGTTGTAGTCGTATTTTTATGTTGGAATTAGTTTTATTGTAGGCTGGTGCTTATTCTGAAAAAATGTAGGAAAAGAAAACTAGAGGTTTGCTTTTATCTTATCATTGTCTTGCAACTTTGTCTCCCAGCCAAATCAAACCAAATCTCTTTATTTTATAGTTAAGCAAATTACAGTTAAAAAAGCGGCGTTGATTAACCTTCTAAGACTAATGTACGTATTATCGATACCCTCAATGAACACTACCCTAACCTAGTTTTTTGTTGTTTTATTGTTTTCACAAAAATATTTTCTTTGTTTTTTTTTTCCAATTTGTATATCAATTATCAGATCACTTAATTAAAAACGATTGGTTCTCCGTACAAACTTAAATTCGATTCAATTTATCACACTTTAAGATTTATTTTTGTGCCAAAAAGTAACCTATATCTTTTTCTTAGATCCCATCTATCTCTGCACCTAAAATTTATCAATGTTGGTTCAGCGAATTAGGAGTGAAAAACGTAACAGAGCTACTTTCACATTTGTAATGTTAGTTTGGACATGCCCGAAGGGTATTTTGCCTAAAAGTATGTTTTTTGTACAAAACTGAAGGCATACTTGCTTGGGCGTGAAGCATGTAGTTACAGTTAGTACATTTTAATACACGTTAGTACAGTTTAATGGACGTTCAGAGTTTCCCTATTGAAGTTTGCTGCGTCTCAGAAGAACAAACACTGTCCCATTTATGAGGCACATTCTCTTGAGAAAAATGAGTAACATACAGAGATGGGTAACGGGTTAAAACACAATTATAATCCAAAGGGTTTTAACGCAACCGGTAACGGAATTATACCAATTTCGTAATTTGGTATAATTTCATACTTTATCACTAATTGCAGGCTTCTTGCCACGGTATTACTTCTTTTTAGTTTCTCGACATTTCGGAAGGGTTGCAGGCTCCATGGTCACGGGTTGACTGGACAGCGGCCGATGACAGCTTTAAGAGCAGACATACTCGTATCTGTCTACCCTCTTGTCGCTATCGCGTTGTGGCGTTACCATTGTCACTCACTTTTTTCACACAAACCACACTCACTGTATCCACACGCGAAACTGAACTCGAGGTGTTTTTGTTTTTATTACTGCACGCACTAAGGACCGAATTCCATGCACTGGACAGTTTAAAACCATCATCACGGTTAAGTGTCTTGTACTTCGTGGTCTCGATGGCTTCTCGTACCAACCGTGATATTTAGTGACGTTCTGTCGACAGTACCTTGGGGCTATGCAACTCGATCCAGTGGTTAGTGTTAGTCTGTGTGAGATGTTGCGCTATAGTCGACTTTTGTGCAACATTGTTTTTTATTGCTCGGATGTGTTCCTTCATACGATCGGCAATTATTCGTCTAGTCTGACCGACATACGAGCTCCCACAACTACAGTTCACTTTATAGACACCCGGTGTTTGTAAAGGAAGGTGGTCTTTTGGTGAACGTAACATTTTTCCTATTTTTGTTAAGGGACGAGATTTTTCAGAAAAAGAGGCAATTCCACACAAAACCCACTTTGGAATCATGTGGAACCTCATTACTGAAGATACACATTACGATTCGATTTTCATGAAGATCGATTTCCCCAATCGAATCAGTTCAATAGAAAGGCAAATCAATTTGGCTAGATCAGAAAGCGATAAACATTAAATAATAATTAATATCGATAAATGTGAACAAAACTCGATTTAAAAACAAATATTAGTGATATATTAGATAACATCGCATACGTTGCTCTGATACCAAAAGTAAGTAACTGAAGCAATTGTCTTATGGTAATCGGAAACAATGACGGTACCACAAACGCCCAGACCCGAGACAATATAGAAAAGTTGATTTTCTACAGTGACACGGCCGGGGATCGAATCCAGGAGATGGCGACACCACGCAAACCGATGTGCAAGCCACTCGACCACGGAGGTCGTCCGATATAATATAATAATATTTTAGTTGTAAATACTTTTTGCCCTCGATTTTGACCGTTAATGGATTTCAGCCCGATTTAAAACACGGACGCTTGCCCCATCTCTGGTAAACAAGTATAGGAACGTCTCTTTGTAAATAAACTTTGTTGCCATTTATCATTAACGGCTTTTATATGTGAAAACAATGCAAACTGAAACCACAACGATATGATCCAATGGTATAATTATGATAAACCTCTTTTAACTTCCTCCTCGCCTCAGGCTTTTCATACATGCTCGGTTACTTCGCGCAGGTACTTTGGACCTAAAGACTTGTTTGACGTTGATTTATGCACATCAAGATTATTGTGACCTTTTCGACGCCCGGCCTACCGAGTGTGACATACTGACGGACGGTGGGTTCGTTCGCTTTTGTTTGATTATGTCACTAGTTTTGAACGAATTGACCGGACTGGGCAAAAAAGTCTCGACGTGAAATCATGTGCGTTATCTCAGAAAGATGGTTCTCAATTCGTCCATATTTATTTTATGGAAAAGGAGTACCTCAATAGTGATCGCTTCTAATTTGAAGAACATATTCCACTTTTAAGGGCGCGGTCCCATTATGTCGTGACTACAGATGAATAGTCGTGCAGTTTCAAGTGTCGAAGCTTGTATATTTAATTAAATGAAATTATTATAATATAGTAAAATACGCTTAACTGTCGTTCACGAGTTTTTTGAAGTTACGACGACGGAATGTCGTGACAATGGAAAGAGGTAGAACGACAGTCGTCTGACGATAAATAAAACGTCACGATAAAAATGTGACGACATATAAACGTAGCTTCAAACGATTCTGTCGTGCAAACGACAAGGCGGCTGTCGTGAACCGTTAAATTGTCATCACGATCTAGTGGGAACAGCTAGACACGACAGTCGTTCAAAGATAAAATAAACGTCCACGACACAAGCACGACAGATAGTCGTGATATGGAAACAGGCTAGACGCGACAGTCGTTTAACGATAAACAAAACGTGACGACATAGTGGGAACGCGTCCTCAGGGTGGCAAATTAGGGAATAAAGTCGGCTTATTGAATTTCACTCCCTTTCCCTTAATCAAGCTCAATAAAACTTTGCGCATTGGTGTAATTCCAATAAAGCGTAAACGAATAAGCAATATTATGAAGTTGGTTTTTCAAATGAAAAGTTATAATTATTATAATGCCATTTGCAAATTATATAATACTTTTGAAATTATTTCCTCCTCCTAACAAAAGGTTATTGAAATAACCTTGATTATCTTAACAATTGACAAGATTATAATTATAACGGCAAATAATAGAAAGGAATTTATATTAACCTCATGAATTGGCCGTTAATTATCACGCTATTCAAAATTATGGGTATTTCTCAAGGCCTAGTGAGATATCAATCTAAACTGTGGATATGGAAGTGGAATTTTATCATGATTTTAGCAATTTATAAAAGTTTTAAATATCTCATAAATATGATTTCGTAAACAGAGTGATAAATTATGATCGTCGAAATTTACTCAAGCTATGCGTAAAGTTACCCCTAGGATAATAATTAATATGATGATGAGATAAGTAACATGAAGTCAAGTTATCTGCTTTGTTTTAAAAACAGATTGACAACCAACTGTGGTTATTTTGTTCCAGAGAATACAATAGGATGGCGGCATGTGATCATCTTTCACCTCTT